TTTTCTTGACCCGAACCCGACCCGAACTTTCGGGTCGGGTTTTTTTTCGGGTTGACCCGACCCGATCGGAACACTAGTGCCATGTATCAAAAGGTTTGGTCCCGAAGGACCCTATTCCGCGATCTTAAATTTGGCCGAAAATTAATTTTTTAGACCTCAAAAATAGAGTTTTAGGAAATAGCAGCTTAATAAAATTTTGTATAAACTTCTATTCAAAATTTTTTTTTTTTTGTCAATGCAGTTTCTAGGATAAATAGTTTGAAGCATAAATTAATTATTAAATTGCTTCCCAATAACCAGCACTAAAGATAAAATTCGATATTTTACACATTGAACTACTATTGAAATCGCTTCGTCTAATCAGCTCTAGTTTTGCTTGAAGGAATTTTTTACGGCGTTGTATATCTAGAAGCCAAGTGAAATGATTACAATCGAGAATTATTAAAAATACGTTTGACGAAACTAATTAAGGTTTGTTTAATTAATGCTAATGGGTTAAAGGGTTTAAAATTGAGAGTTTTACTAATTTACTTAATGAGTGTTATCTAATTTATAACCTTTATAAATCGTTACAAATAGATTTCGATTTTTATTAACTATTTAATTTTATTTTTACACATAACACTGTGCGCAAAACAACGGCAAAAATATCTCAAGTCACATAACAATCTTGGAACTGAATTTTTTTGACATTCTTGCCGTTTTTATGACTTGTTTTTTTCATAACCATAATAGGTTTCTTCAAATTCATCAATCAATTAGCTTAGCTCGTAATTAAGTTGCGCCTGATAAGTTTTATATATGATTAGTACAATAAAATTTCATTGCTGTATTTTATTAATTTGTTAAATTTGAGATTCTTCACAGAAATAATTGTTTTACTAAATAAAGAAATCACTTTTATACCAATTACAATTATTAAAACATATTTTAGTTATCAAGTAGTAATATATTATGAGATATAATTATTTTAATTCTTACACTATATGCTTATTCTTTCAAATTGAAAAGATGAAATATATAATTGTAAAATTAAAATATTTATATTTTGAAATTTAATAGACCAATTTTGTATTTTTGCTATTATTACAACTAAATTTATTCTTTTTTTAAAGTGCAAGAAATTACCTTGTATAAAAATTATTTATCTTTGAAAAAATACGGTATTTATTTATTTATTAACACAATAGGTATGCAAATCCGTGTAATAAAATTAAAAAAAAAACAAATTTTTATAAAAACAAAACTAAATTTTGATTACTTTAGGATTAGGCGAGGCCTGGGATTTTATCGAGTAATACGAATAGTAGTAGTAAAGTAGTGGAGTATAATACGTTAATTAGCAAACACGTGTGTATGGTTGTGAGGTCACAACTGAGTATAAAGTAATAGATCGTGTATAGTGTCGTGTTGGAAAACGGCGAGTCAGTCGCTCAATCTTATGGATCTTCGTGCAACGTACTAGGATAACTTATCGAATAAGGCGTTTAGATTCGGAAAAGGGAATTCCGGCTTCGGTTATCGCTGGTTCACGTTACTTCTCTTTATTCTTTCTTATCACTTCAAAGTTCGTTGAGTCTTTAACTTCCTTAATCTATTAATTTTGACTTATCCTCATAATCAACAATAGATTCTCGGCAAGTTTTCTCTTTACTCAGCAACTTATCGATTACTTTACTCTTATCCGAAGAGTAATAATTTGGCAGCGTAACGTTATTACAACAATTGGTTTATTAACTTTAGCGAAGACGGGTTAGAATTATTTAGCGAAGTTATGGGTCAGAGGAAGGTTTGGGACTTTATTTGTGTGGGGCAAAATATTTTATCGGCTCAGCGATATTTTTTTATTGAAGGGCAAAAATGCCTGTTTATATAGATGTTGGAACAATGGGTTTGCCGATAAGTCTAGTCTTTTAATACTTATCCCTCTTAAAAGACTTATCGCTCCTAAAGTCCTTTCAATACATATAACGAATATAACTAATAAAACCAATAAAAGTAATAGTACTTATCCCTCCTAAAAACCCTATATTAATTAAATGCCTTAAATCACTTATCCGAGCGATCCTCCTTTAATCGCTTTAGGGCTATAAAATCCTTAAAAGCGATTTAAAGCAATATCGCTATTTAAATGGGATCGCTAAAGCGGGGTAATTAAAAAAATTCCTTTTTGATGCAGTTATGGTAAGTGCTTTATATAGATATCAAGAACACAATTATGCAGTATGTAGATCCTTATACTGAATTTACCCCGCTTTAGCGAAATTTAAAGCACGGTATCCCTATAAAAGTCAAGGATCGACTTAGCGAACTGCGGCTTAGTCATATGAGCTCCGGAAAGAAACCTCGAAACCCAATTTCCCCATGTGACAATAGTATGCAATGTATTGTAAAACCCGAAAAATGGTTAGGTTGGGTTCGGAACAATATAACGTGACTACGGGTCACGTATATTGCATAAATTGCATAAATTGCATAAATTGCGTATATGCCATATATCGCATATATCGCATATATCGTATATATCGTATATATTACATTCAAGTAATATATCGCATTTATGTAATACGTTGTAAAGGGCTAATTTGACCCTCCAGAAATACTGCGCTCTGACGTCGTACGATGTCCTATTTTAGCTTGTAGATTCTTGTTTAGCCTGTTTATAGTGTCACATGAGAGAATTGGGTTCCGAGCTTTCCTTCTGAAGCCATATAACTTAGCCGCAGTCCAATTTTACGGCTAAGTCGATCCTTGACTTTTTTAGAGATCCCACGCTTATAGGAGTGATCGATCTTATAGCTCCTATAAGACTTATAAGAGCGATAGGAGTTATAACTCTTAAAAGTATTAAAAGAGCAATAGGAGTTATAACTCTTAAAATTCTTATAAGTATTAAAATTCTTATAAGTATTAAAAGTCTTATAAGTCTTAAAAGTCTTATAAGTATTAAAAGTCCTATAAGTATTAAAGGAGCGATAAGTTTTATATTTTTTTTAAGAGCTATAAGAGTGAAAAGACATATAAGACTTATACACAATCCTATTGTTATAAAGTCTATATAAGCAGAGTATTTCTGCCTTTCAATAAATACAATTATTCAATTGATAAAATATCTTGTCTTCTAATAAATTGATTCAACCCTTTCATTGATCCATAAATCTACTAAATATTTTTAACTCGATTATTGCTAAGTTAATAAACTTGTACTCATATAATATTATGCTATTTAATTTACTCTTTGAACAAGAGTAAAGTGTCATTTAGTTATTGTGAAAGAGAACTTACCCACTGAATCTTATGTTTGACTATCCTAAGAGAGAAGATAAGTCAACTTGAATAGATTAAGAGAAGTTAAAAGAATTAATAATGTTAAGACCAACTACATGACCAGAGTCTAACTAATAACCAAAGCCTTAGAAATCTCTTTGCCTAATCACTATACTTACTTTTGGTAAGTTATCATGATTTGTTATACAAGAAACTTGAAGATTGAGTGACAAACTCACTATTCCTACAGGTATCAATAGTACAAACATATATAATTAGAAGTCTCACTGAAGATTAGTGTCAATCCTTTTCTTTTTTTTTTTTAAATTTCAACCTTTGCAGGTTGAGGTGAGGTCTTGCCTCTATCTTTATTTGAGTAAAATATAGTT